TTGGTAGAATTTCTGAAAAACATGAACAAGAACAGAGATCTATTTAGCATGGCGACTATACACAAACATCACACACACAAGCCCTTGGAAAGGGCTTGCCAGCCCACCTCTGCCCCCTGCTAGTGGGCCTCAACAAGGATGCTCTTCCAGCACGAGGTAGGGCAGGGAGGTAGCATCACACCCACACCCATTGTCCTCTTTTCTTCATGCCTCAGACTGCTCCTCTTTGGAATACAACAGCAGGTCCCACAGCAGCAGCATCACCCTTCCTCCTCCCTGTTGGGTTGTGCTGCTCTCTCTTACTATAGGGGACATAGGCAGGGCCTTGCTGCTGTACAATTTACGTGGATTTGTATTGCAAATTCTCTCAGCACATAACACCACAGCTGTGAAGGCAGGCAGGAAAGTGTGTGTGGTGAGGAGCTAGAGCAGACTTCCCCAACACAGTCCCATCCAGATGTTAGGGACCACAACTCTCCATCATCGCCAGGAAGGTTCAGAGATGATGGGAGCATCTGAAGAGCACCATGCTGGAACAGGCTAAGCTAGAGGGAGAGTTGAGCAGGGATTCCTGTTGTTCAGTGCCGTCCAGCTAGCTATCTAGCCTGCTTTTCCCCCTGAATGGAATCTATAGTTCTTTCTTCCTCCATATGACTAGCAGAAACATCGTGAATTAGGCAGCAGGTATGGAATTCTGCAAATCTGCTTAGTGATAACCAATACATATCCTGTAAATATGCTATAGCATGGTCAACAACCATTCTGGATGACTTAGAATTTCAAAAACAGGAAACAAAATCACACAATAAAACCACTGAGCAAGCCACATACAAGAACCTAACCCACCAATCCTCTAACCATGCTTTCCCCCCAAAAAGAAGAGTTTTGTGCTGCCCTCTAAAAACAAGAAGACTTGGACTTTTGCTAGATATGAACATTTCCCAAAAACCAGCCAGAAGGACAGTCACTGACGCCAAGGAAGAAAGCCTGCTTTGGTGGCATCAATGATCGTGTGTTTGGCTGTTTCTGGACAGAAATCAGAAGAAGCATCCAATGAAAATCAGTGAAGCATTCTTCTAGTAACTAGATGATGCCACAATGATTATGAAGACTCCAGAACTAGCCAGTGCACACCACTTTAAATTTCAGTATGTTTGATAAACTAGCAACCTATGCCAAGAGAAGTGCAGAGTCAAAGTCTGTGTGTGTAGTTCAATATGACCATTAAGACACAGAGAAATGCTTTTTGGTCAATGTGACAACTAAAGCTAAATGAAGTCTTTGGGCAAGAAACTCTTCTTTCATTTCTGCAACGGCCAATAGGGTTGATGAACAAGCTGTTATGAAAGCCAATGGCCCCCTTTCAAAAAGTTTTCAGAAAACGTTGGGAAAGGGTAATCATACCCTAGAAGAGGAGGGCCAGCTTGTCTGTCTCAGAACTTTAGACGTCAGTAAGAAGAGCCCTGACATTAAACTTCACCTGCCAAAGCATCAAGGCAGCAAGTGATTTAGGCAGCTAAGCAAGTTCAGCAGCAGGGCTAGGAAGCAAGGGCAAACCACTCAGCTTCTCCACTCTTAGTCCTAGAATCATAGAATCATAGAATCATAGAATCATAGAGTTGGAAGAGACCACAAGGGCCATCGAGTCCAACCCCCTGCCAAGCAGGAAACACCATCAGAGCACTCCTGACATATGGTTGTCAAGCCTCTGCTTAAAGACCTCCAAAGAAGGAGACTCCACCACACTCCTTGGCAGAAAATTCCACTGTCGAACAGCTCTTACTGTCAGGAAGTTCTTCCTAATGTTTAGGTGGAATCTTCTTTCTTGTAGTTTGGATCCATTGCTCCGTGTCCGCTTCTCTGGAGCAGCAGAAAACAACCTTTCTCCCTCCTCTATGTGACATCCTTTTATATATTTGAACATGGCTATCATATCACCCCTTAACCTCCTCTTCTCCAGGCTAAACATGCCCAGCTCCCTTAGCCGTTCCTCATAAGGCATCGTTTCCAGGCCTTTGATCATTTTGGTTGCCCTCCTCTGGACACGTTCCAGTTTGTCAGTGTCCTTCTTGAATTGTGGTGCCCAGAACTGGACACAGTACTCCAGGTGAGGTCTGACCAGAGCAGAATACAGTGGCACTATTACTTCCCTTGATCTAGATGCTATACTCCTATTGATGCAGCCTAGAATTGCATTGGCTTTTTAGCTGCCGCGTCACACTGTTGGCTCATGTCAAGTTTGTGGTCAACCAAGACTCCTAGATCCTTTTCACATGTACCGCTCTCAAGCCAGGTGTCACCCATCTTGTATTTGTGCCTCTCATTTTTTTTGCCCAAGTGCAATACTTTACATTTCTCCCTGTTAAAATTCATCTTGTTTGTTTTTGCCCAGTTCTCTAAACTGTCAAGGTCGTTTTGAAGTGTGATCCTGTCCTCTGGGGTGTTAGCCACCCCTCCCAGTTTGGTGTCATCTGCAAATTTGATCAGGAT